TGGATAAGGGTAAGGGGGCTGGCTTTCAGCATCCCCACTGTTAAGTGTTCCAGGACCACTGGTTTAGGGTTATATTAAACTTAGGCTTGTTGAGAAAAGTCTGAGTAAAACACCTATGCATCCAATGAAGTGAGCTGTAGCTCACGAAAGCTTATGCTCAAATAAATTGGTTCGTCTCTACGGTGCCACAAGTACTCCTTTTCTTTTTGCGGATACAGACTAACACGGCTGGTACTTTGACACCTTCTGTTATTATCTAAGTGTAAAACCCTCTCTCGGGCACATAACACTTCTGTGTTTACTAGTGAGGAGTTGTATTTTTTTTTTCTATGCTGGCACAATCTTTTCCCGGGGTTTTGTATATCTGCATTCTCTCCTCTTGCTTGAATGGCAGATGACCTTACAGATAGATCCCTGTGGAAGCCTTGTCTACTGTTGCACTTCAAATATGATCCAGCAGGTGGTGCCATCGCATGGTTTTCAGCCTGGCAGAAAGCACAGGCAGTCCCAAAGTGTCTCATTAGATCCCTGTTGTTAGCAGGTGGTCTGCCAACCTCTTTTCAACATACCTTCCACTGCTAGTAAGACTGGAAATAGGGTGAGACTGAGCTGAACTCTTTCCAAATCGTGGCTTGCCCTTAAAAATCAGGACAGCTCATAAACCTTATCTCTAGCCAGGCAGCAGCATCCCTTCTGCTGAAGAGTGACAGAAAATCCCTTATGTTCCCAGCATCTACTGACACGAGGCACTAAATGCCTAGAATCAACATTAATCCCAGCTTGATTTGCTGGTGATAATGTGTTTGCTAATTTCAAATAATAACAAAGGGCAACCCTCAAAGTGCAAACCCACACTGCAGCCTTAAGCCACCCTCTCTCTCAGTAATGAGGCAAATCAAAACCCAGCTCAAATTCTGGTACACAAATGTATGCTTTGTGCACGCTGTTTGTTCCCTGAAGCTGATGCACTGAAGAGAGATTTCTCACTGGGTGTGCATTGGTGTCCTGAAATCTCCAGAAGTCATGTCTGTAAATGAAATGGGTACTTTCAGCTCACTGTGGGGTTTTTTTCCTTATTAAAATGATTCAGAAAAATAACTGAATCTGTTCTGCTGACTCACAGCCCCTCTTTACCCATAGCTGGTGGCAACCTGGCCTTTGTCAAATTGATGGGCAAAGTTGTGTATGTTAGTGCATAATTGTCTCTTCTGGGGCATTTCGTCGTTCAGTGAATCCTCTGACACCGGCTACTGCCAGTGAGAGGAAACCAGACTAGATGGGCCATTAGTCCCAAGTCTCCTGTCCAGATATATGCGCAAACCCTTGATTTCATAGTAAGCTTTGAGTGTAAAGTACTTTGACAGTGCTCCCTTGCTGAGTAAGTTTTCATATAACAATACTCAAGTCCAAAACTACTTGCATGTGAAAACAAGACCAAAGTGGCAGGTGAACTTTCAAGGTGACTCGATGCCCCTGGTGCCTGTGTTCTCCCCTGCAGTATGAAGGCCTGGGAAAGGAAGCCCCTAGGGCACAGAGCAGGTCTTCCACCATGTCTGCACAGCATGGCGCATACCACTGCCACGCAGCAGAGAAATCCATACAAATAACACTGCACCCCAAAGTCACCTCCGCCTGGAAAGGCTGCATCACGGCCACATGCACCTGGTCCACAAACGTGGAGAAGGGGAAAGGATGGAGATCAGAGTGACCCTGTAGGCTGGCAGCCAGCCACAGAGAACACTTGCTGGCACCCTGTGGATGCTATCCGTGCAAAAGACTTGCTCAGCCTTCCTCTCAAGCCCTGTCGTGAGCAGAGGCAACCCAGCAAGCCCCTTGGCTGTGCAGCCAGTGGCTCCCAGGGTGAGGCTGTGTTCTGTGACATCTCCAGGGTGGACCACTGACCCCAGAGGGTTATTTAATGCTGCTCCTCTGGTGTTGGGGCTGTGCAGACACTGGAAAAGCTGCAGAATTGCTGTTCCCTGACTCTTCCCTGCTACCCCGGCCCATCCATCACATGGGAAGAGGTGGGGTGGGGGGTTGAAGAGCTGGAGGGTGGCAGGGGGAGAACATTTTACAGGTGTGGTTCCCCTCCGCTTCCTTTTTCCTGTGGAGCAAAGTCTGCCACCCTCCAGTAATAGCTCACTCAGTATCAAAACCAGTCGGCCTATTCCTGGAGTAAGGCATTACTCAAGGTGAAGAAAGGTGGCAGAATCTGGCCCTGCACCTACTGTGGCCCATTCCATTAATAATGGCATTATCCTCGGTTATCTGTTCGATTTAGGTCCTAATCCAAAGGCCACTGAAGCCAATGGAAAGATTCCCATTAACTCCTGTGGGTTTTGGATCACGTCCATAGCCTTGGTACTACTGCCTAACCCCATCTGCAGGGTATAAACTTCCCTGCCTTCAGTAAGCTTCTCTGGGAAAGGAGCCCTATAGTCTGCCTATAAAAATGAGTTACTGGGGGATTTTCAGCATCAGAGGATATCACCGAACACATTTTATCTCAATCACAGGTGATGCTATTAGAAAGATGTTAATCATGCTGTGGAATACACTGCATATCATGTCCTTAAATCACCTATAACACATACATCACCCAGTGAAAGTACATCTACACAGAGAAGCATAGAATCTAGCCTTGTTTACTGTAGTTGACTTTAATATAGGCACCTTCACCCAAGTCACAAAATCCAAGGGGAGAAGTTAACAAGGTCATAACTAGAATCAGACAAACACAATTTCTCTTCTTCATTCCATCCCTGGGAAAACCACCATCACCATCACTTGGATTTTGGCTCTGGCCTTTCACTGTATTCCAAAATTGAATTAAATTGTAGAAATAGAACACACTGTTAAACCAGCTATTGGAAATAAAATAAAGCATGCTGTCAAAATTAATTTGCCATTGAAGGCGGAATATTTTAGCTCTGAAATTAATGGTTCATTTATAGACTATGATGCATTAAATGGCATCTGTTTATACAGTATCTGTTATACATTTTGAATATTTTAAAACGTGTTGATTCATAATGGATAATAATGTCATCTTGCACTTATCACAAGTGTTGTTCATTTTGGAATCTCAACATGCTTTAAAAAAAATTAACAAATTCATGCCTCACTCTCCCCCCCCACCCTTCAAATAATTTATTCACAATGGATGAAATTCAGTACAAGACCTAGGCACTACTGAATTCCACTTCAGTACTTCTCTGAGGTCTTAGGTGGGAATAAGTGATGGTTAAGTGGGAAGCTTTGGGTTAGACCTGTGCACGCTCTTTGTGTTAATGACTTATGCAAACTCCACGGCATGGATCACCTTTCGAGTACAGTTTGCAATGTGCATTTTAATGGATTTGTTTTCATTATTTTGCCAGTCTAAATGTCCATCAAAATAAAGAGGCAAAAGCAGCAGTTTCACTCTACAAAATGCAAACACTGAAAAATAAAAGTAGTGCCCAGTGTATTGAAAAGCAGTTAGCCAATGAATGACTACAGGAGTAGAGTGCATTTGAACATCCTAATACTATATAACTTCAAATATTGCCCCCCCCCCCACTCAGGGGCATCAGACTCAACTAATACAACCGTCGCTATTGCCTCCGGGGTCAGTTATTGGCTAAAAGGGAATGAACAGAGTCTACTTTATGGATAAAAAAAATATTTTGGTCCCATTGAAGTCAATGGCAAATCTCCCATTGATTTCAATGGGGGCAAGATTTCACGCTACCTCTCTATCGCGGGTTTTCTGTAGCACCCGTCACCACGGTGTCTGAACACAGGAAGTAACTGAGGTTGCAGCATGTTTAGGGAAAATGTATACTAAAGGAATGAAATCGAGGCCCTGATAAAGTCAGTAGGAATTTTGCCTTTTACTTCAGTTAGATCAAGATTTCAACCATACAGAGCACATATATACGGTATAAACTAGCCCCCTGCGTTGAAAAAACGTGGTCCTCGGGCCAACAATATTCTTATGGCATTTCGTATGCTACCCTCCTTAGCATTGTTCTAATCTGCAGGGTCAAAATTGTCCATTACTGACTTCAACTCTAGTCAGTGGGGTAAATCTTAAGCTCCTTACTCAGGATCAAATTCCCACTGAGAGTCCCATTCAGAGTTTGGCTCGTTATGTGACTAAGGACTGTAGCGTGTGGCCTAGCATGTATCATATGTAATAAGTACTGAAATGCCTATATGTGCGATTGGCAAGGCAGACGCTGGAATTAGAATGCCTGTGCTCTGTACCGATATCATCATCCATACATATGTGGCCCAAGGGTGGGTAATACTAATTTTCACCTAAAGTCAGACAACTAAATGATTCTCACAGAAAATCATTTTCCTCCCTTTAAGTTTTAGTTAAACTGCCCCTGTGTATCAACAAGACAACTGAATTATTTTGCCTACAATCATTAAAAATTATGTTTTGGTGCCAAATGGACTCTTTGGATAAAAATTTATATTCTGAGTTTAAAAGATAATGTAACTTCTTGGGCACCCAGAAATTTACAAATTGTCACTTCATTTTCACAAAGCAAAAACTCAACGTTTCATAAATATTATATAACACAATATGTCACCCTTACATAAACACAAAGCACCACTTCTCGTTCTATTTGCTGCAGGCTAGACGGTGCTACTGATTGAAAATAGCAGGGTTTGGTTTTGTGTAATATGAAGACACATCAAGCTATTCAGGCCTCAGATCTGATCAGTAATTATCTATCCTTTTTCCAGAATCATGCAGCCCTTGTTCAGTCCTGTCTTGGTCACAATTCCTGGTAACACCAGTGGGAGTTTCAGCTGCATCAGGACTTTACGATTTGTCCTATTTAACTTCTGACAAATATCACCCTGCAGATCTTTCTGCTGTCAAACTAACGGCTCAGGGTTTTTTCCAGACACAACATCAATTGAAAACCAGACCCTAACTGGACCCTACTTGTCATCCAGTTGTTTATTGATCCATGCCATTTTTTTTCATTTGTACATAGGACTGAAAGGGACCCCCAGGTCATCGAGTCACTCTTCTCCTGCTATCACGTGCAACTCCATCATGTAGTTAAGGCATCCCATAAAGATCATCTTTGGTATGTACTTGGAGAGGTAAGTTGATTTTTATCATTTGATTGTAGGGCTGTATTTATGGGCAATGTAACTGTAGATTCTGGAGTCAGACACAAGAATTTTTTCTATGTATAAAGGTCCATGTTCTGATACACTAACTTGCACTGAGTAGAACCCGACAACATGAGTTGTCTCCTTGTTTAGGAAGATGCTACTCAATGTCAGACCCCAAAGTAATTCCCCATAAATACCATTCAGGACAATATGTCACTTCTGAAAATTTCTCCTTTACTACTGCTGTGATTTTCAATGCGGATGATGGGAGTTACGTATCCAAAATCCATTAAAACTCAGCATCCGGCCTCTTTGAAGCTCCCAGCTTATATCCCAGGCAGATAAATACATCCCTTACTGTCAGATAAATTTAATTAAATTAGCAATAAAGGTCTTTTTAGTAAAGAAAGCAATAGCAATGGATCCTCTTAGGGCAAACGCAGTTTACCCTTTGGCACCCTTTGGCATTGGTGGCTGCCAGTTTGTGCATTGGGGACCTAAATCTATTCCTATTGAGATCGATGAGAGAAGGATGGGACCACATATGTAACTCTGATTTCAGTTACTGTATTGACTATGGGAGGCAGGATTGTCTTGTGCTTAAAGGTAGCATACTGGCCTACAGGAGATCTGCATTATGTTTTGGACTTTGCTGTGGACCTTGGGCAAGTCACATAAGCCACCTGTCTCTGGTCCCCATCTCTAAAATGGGGCTAATAATCTACCTCAATGGTGGGTTGTGAGGATAATTAATAGGAGATACTTAGATACTATCCTCACGTGCACCCCAAGAATCCTATAAATACATAAAATAATTATTCTAGATTCACACCAGCATAGTAGAAAGAAGAATCTAGCCCATAATTTGCATTGGGAAATGTAAAAGACCTGCGGGTTCATCTTAAACCCACTTCCCAAAACTACAAGCATATTTCACACAACTATAGGAGCGTTCTTACTAAAACTGGAACCTTGACTGATGTGCACCATTCACAGATAATTTGCAGGGGCTAAAATACAAACTATCACTACCATTTTCCCAGTGCCTCAGTATGGAAACAATGGGCTGGACTGGCATATCATACATCGGACTGTATGAAACATTTGTATCAAGACCTGAAAATCCACTCTGATGTGGGCACTGGGTGCCCAAGGAGTGAAACCCCACATGGTTTTGGTTTGCCAAAATAGTGCATGCAATTCCCTAGCCCATCACACCACACATACACATGGCTCATCAACTTCATTTTTGTGTGATTAAAATAGGAGACTCAAATTGAAGAATCACATGAGCAATCTGTTTATTTCTATGTTAGGGTTCACGGGTTTCACAACGTCACTCAAGTGCGTCTTTGCTGGAGAGTGAAGTGTTATTTCTGAACTCTGTCCTATAGAAAATGAACAACTTTTAAAAATGGCACATTTAATGATGTAAACTGAGGCTTGAATAACTTAATCGGTACACAAATTACACAGTTATAAAAGTCATCTGTCATTGTCTTAACTTACAGTGTATTTTGTACAGGTTTCATTATGTTATACATCTAAGACTTACCATACTCTATAAATATTTTGGGCATGATGAATATACATATTCAGTATTGTAGATTCAGTAGTTAGTGTATGCATTTCACTATGTACTATACAGTGTATTTCAATGTAGTGTATACAATATGTATTTCAGAAAAGAGCATATTGTCTATGAATATTTGGTATCCCATTTATGAAGCACTCTACGTTGAAATACAGATTGTATCCCATTATATACTGTTTTTACTGAATCATATGGCTGGAAGATTTGCTTCTTCATTCCCCAATAAGAACTAAGGAAGAGCAGCTAGTACCATTATGAAGCTGTATCATTCTACAGCAAGAGGAGTAGGGGGACCTGTTTTCCCACATTTGTATTTAAATCAGGAAGTGTGCATAGACAAGCCATATGGAGCTAGTCTATAATGTCCAAATGAAATATAATAGTTCTGCACAGTTGGAAATGAACTCTTTCTTCAGTATTCTCCATGGGCCAGATCTTCAGCTGGTGGAGCTAACCACTCAGTGATTTACGGTAGCCAAGAGTCTGGCACTTTACAGTTCTAAAGTTGCTAAGAATCAACATATTCAGTGAATCCTCCCTTGTATTGATAGTTTGCGGGGAAGGGGTGCGGGTGGGGGACAAAAACACCGTCCATACAACCTATTTCCTTTTCTTTATGTAGAACAGTATGCACCACAAATACAAGTTGTGTATTCTGTATGGAGCCATAGGAGTTTCCTATCTCGGCAGCTACTGAAACTTCATAGTTGTGGACATAGCAATCTATTATTATTATTAGAGGTTTTCTTAGCGAGACCAGGTGGGTTTTAGTCATTTGATGTTTCTTGATATATAATCTGCCTCCAAATGCCATTCCTTCCTTTGGTTAATAATTAGCCTTAGAAATATTTATTTGATGTTCTTTCATTTGGTCTGCAAATAATGTTCATTTTACAGGAGTGGTACTTTTACACCTGTCTAGATCCAGCGTAACTCGACTGTTTTTAATGGTGTCACTCTGCATTTACACCGCCGCAACTGCGGGGATACTTTGGACGTTCTCATTTTCTCTCTTTGCTTTTTTATTCTTTGGCCTTGTGCATTTTTATTTATTGTCACTTTCTATTTCTGAACTTTCATGTACCATGTTAGATCTTTTAAAGTTTAACTATAATATATTTTTGTACTTCCAGAGCATTTTCCATCTTTACCAGATTCTATGTATTGGTGTGGCATGCTAAATTCTGGTTTCCATTTTTTTGTTTTTGTTTGTTGAGTTTTTGTTAACTACTATAGTTCTTTTACTTATCTTTTTAACTGTTTGTATTTTGTAACTGGCGACCAGACTTAACATCCAGGTGGACTTGCTGTGTGTGATTCCTGCATAGAACAAAGATCAAGGCTCTAAAACCAAACAGATCCTGTACTGGAGAGTGGGTTGGCCTAAGTGAAATTCTTTCTCAGATCAGCTAGCAGGCGTGCTAGACTATAAATTCCTCTTATATTCTCTGTATTTTCCACTTAATCGTTTATTTTATATGTGCACACAATGGAACACCAGCATGGAAATATGTGCACTCTACTTTTAGTGATCCTTGTCTCACAGCTACATAACTTCTAATGTGAAACACACAAAAATTACCATTTTGCTCTTTTCAAATCTTGTTCTTAGAGAGAAGACTTTCAGTATAAACAATGTGGTTTCTGACTCTTGTCCAACGTTAACATACTGGTCCCGAATCAGCAAAGTACTTAAGTCACTTTGGGATCAATGGGACTTAAGATATGCTTAAGTACTTTGTTGAATATGGATGGACTCTAAGCAGTTTGCTGAACTGAGTGGATAACTACTTACGCATTAGCAAAATGCAGAAAAATCTGGAGGAGCTGAATTTTATGATTTTCTGGTTTTATTAATCAGGTTCAAAATAGCAATCAAGACTTCTCTAGCAATCTTTGCTCAGCTAGAAAAGGAGAGACTATATGTTAAATATCTTGAGCATTAGTTTACTAAGATATGTGGTACGTCTGAGCTCACACTAAAGTGCTATTATGTTCATTATTTTGGGAGAGTTGGGGGATGTGAGGCAGCTGTGTTTGGATCAGCTGTCAATTACATTTTCTCATGATGGGCCCAATGTACTGTTTTTGCTTCTCTTAGACATTTCATACATAAAGATTTCTTTGCTACAATTTTCAACACATTTCAATCGTACTTCAATGTAAAAATGAATATAATGTTTGTGGAATGGAAGCTTTTTGAATCTCCAGCATTCCTGTCAAATTTGGGAATAGCCATTATATAACTGTGCCCGGTATTTTCTTTTGTTATGGAGCTTGTTGAAAAAGGTTTTTTTCTGTACCAGACATATGATTAGAGATGGCTTTTAGACAGGGCCTGTGTGCACCAGCCATTGTAGATGGATGTCTGCATAGTGCTAAACTGCAGTGTGTGTGTGTATGTGTGTATATATATATATGTGTGTGTGTGTGTATATATATATAATTTAGTACAGTGTAATACCAGTTTCAAGTCTTTGCTTATTTCCCAGGCAATTTGCTTCCTGTTCAGTGCATTTCAATACTACGTTTGCATTTATTGTGAAAGTAACATATGTTGCCCACAAAGAATTTCCATAAGTGTTGTTGTTTCATGAGAGGCATTTTGCTTTAAAGTGTGTTCTGCTTTGTTTCAAGTTATTTTTCATATTGTCAATGGCAAAAATAAACCCAGGACTGCTTCTTGATTTTTATTTTCCAGGGTTTATTGTTGTATATACAGTTCCCTGTAAAGAGATACAACCCTTTTCCAGTGTGAGATTTCTAATACGTTTCTACATTTCAAATATTAAAGATTTGCATGGGAAGGAGAAAGATAATCAGTGATGAAGAGGTATCCTTTAGAGCTGATGCACATGAATAGAAAACCTGAATAAGTGTAAATATACTGTGGAACACTTTGGTAAACCAAAAAAAAAAAATCTCCAAAGAAAATATTTAATGTTCTCTAAATCAAACCATCTTCCTAAACAATACAGATAAGAAATTAACCACATGTGGGTGTTTGTATCTGTAAAAAATGAGAATACTTGGCTGCATGGCTCATAGGCAAATAAAATTGGACAGATTCATTCAGATCTCTTTTGAAGTAAGCCTAGGCTCAGGCTGTATGCAAGAAATATCCACTGTGCTTTACAAAGGATGACTAGAAAAATCAACCCCAAAAATCCCTTGTTTTCTGAATCACTGTTTATCATGAGTTGACAGACAAATGTAGTCTCCTCTGAGTCTGAGCATAATTGTATTAGCATTTAGCTAGTACCAGGCCGTATATGAAAACAGCCATCATGTGCGACACCTCCAACACCTACATGTAGCTGTTTCAGGGACACATCCTGGTTTATAGTGAAACAGGATTAACTCAGCCAGCCTCTTGTACCCACTCAATGAT